ATATTTGGGAAAGAGACAGGCATGCTTTACCACCCCTGGATGAGCTCTTTGCTCCAGAGAGTTACCTATGCTCACTGTCAGGTTCCACAGCTCGTTGGGCTGTTCTCCCTGTGAGACTGGAGACTTTCATGAAACTTCCTGGGCAGTTGGTACCCCTAGAAAAATGAACATGTGCCAAGAATGGCAGCAAAGGGGGCTATAAAAGAACCTCTGACTGAACCCTTAAAATTGATTTCATTTTTTTGGCAAGCCAGTGATGCACTTCACCCATGTTCCCTAAGAGATCCAAGGACTGAAAAACTGCTGCTCTGAGTAAGCAGAAGTGGACAGTCAAGGTGGGTTTCTCAAGCACTGGCTCTGGGTCCTTACCAGCATCACCTTCATCTTTGTCTTTCAGCTCCTTGGCAGCCTTGGTGCAGAGCTCCCGGGCACAGAGCCCTGCTGGGCTCCGGTCGTTGGCCATGGCCTCTTCCACCACAGTGCCAATGGACACATAAGCAGCGTCGTAATACTGACACAGGCCTGCTGCTATCTCTGTCTTTCCTGCGAGAGAGAGGAGGACTGCTTGGTGACACTGGCACAGGAGGCACTGCAGGGACAGGCCCTGGAAAAACCTCCAACAAGATTTCAAAGTTAGAAGGACAGTAGGAGAGCAAGTGTCCCCCATGGGGGAGGCAGCTGCAGCGTGGGTACAAGCTCCGAATTCTAGAGCCAAGAGGATCATCTCCACCTCCTGTTCAGCTCAGGACTTTGCCTTAAGCACCACGGCCCACCAGGATGTGCTCCTCCTGCTTGCCCCTCTCCCTGCAGCCCTGGGCTGCAGCTCACGTACCTGCCCGGGGTGGCCCATGGACAATGACAACAATCCCTCGGTGCTGCTGCGCTTCACACCTCCCTGAAGATGGGTCAATGCCCAGGTGGCGCATGACAGCCCGAGAGATAGGATTCCCAGTCATTTTCACCAAGGACTCAGGACAGAACTCAGACGTTTCCTCAAACACGCTGTAGACCCAAGTGCCAGGCAGCCACAGGAGCAGAAAGCGCAGGAGTCACAAAGAAAACCCACCCAAGAAGTTACGTGTTCAATGTGGCCTGTGCTTTACCTTCAGAACAGGCTTGCTGGCAGTAATGAACCATTTGCAGGGTACTCGGAACTGGTTGTAGAGTCGGATGGTCTCAACCTGGCAATGCCCAACGAGGATGTCAGAGAACTGCAGTCTCTTCTTGGAGAGGCTGAGTGACAGTTCCAACACAGTGGCACGGAGACAGATGTTATATGTGGGGCCTTGTGTCACCTGGAGAAGGACAGAGAATTCAGCGGAGGGTGCAGGTGACATCTGCTGCTGTGCCCAGCCTGCTGCCCGCCCCAAGAGCTGTGGTACCTCTATGGGCAGCACCACTTCCACGTCACCCTGTGGCCTGTGGGCACTTTCGAAGCGCACGTCAAACGCCACGGTGTGGTTGGGGGGGAGGCCATTCTTCTGGTCCGGGTCCACACTGAAACCTTGAACGGATGAACACAAAGCAGCTGAGATAGACATGAAACACAAAATGTGACATAAGCACGTTAAGGCCTTACTGGTGTTCTGGCTGAGAGGCCTGGGAGAAGCCCCACGCTGTGCTGTGACCGGGACAACAACTTAAGAGTGCACCTGAACACCCCTCAGACACAGTGAGCCACTGTGTGATGGAAGCACAGCCTTGCCTCAAGGCCTCTTTTGGAAGCCTTTTGATCCACCTGAGGCTCTCACAGGCTGCTTCCTCAACAGAGGCTGAATACAAGTGCTGTGATAGTGTGAACTGCAAACAAAGCACTTCCAAAACACAGCCAACCCCCCTGGCTGGCAAAACAAGCCCACAGAGTGCCCAAGGAAACTAGATGCTTGTGGGAGCCAAGGGCAGAAGATGCTGAGAGGTGACCAGGGTGATGAGCCCATCTGGCCCCTGCACTGAAGCATTAGGGCAGTCACAGGCAGGCCAGGTCCCTGGGCATGGCTGGCCAGGAGAGTTCTGCCTCTAAAGCTCCCAGCAGGGGCACTGAGAAGAAAAAGCTCAGAAACCTCCCAGGGTTCAGGGGCTTAAGCTAATCTGTCTGAGACAACTCCTTCAAGGCCACAGGAAGTGTTCCCAGCACTGCTTACCTGTGTCCTGCAGGACAGATACATTGGCCTGGAAGGACACTGGGATCTGCCCAGGGTTGGTGATCTTCAGAGTGCGTGTCTCAGTGTAACCCTTAAGGACAGGGCCCATGTCCAGGACATACTCCAGCAGCTCAACTCTGCAAGGAGTAAGGACAGGCCTTAAACCACAGTTCTTAAGTGTGGCTACATGTCCAAGTGAACAAAGCATACAAATACAGTGGCTATTTCTTTATTCACTGCTGTAAAAACTCAGCTCAAGCCCATGAAACCCA